CACGTGACAATCTCTAAATTCGGTCATGTTAGGGTTTGTGTTTATATTACAGTATTAGAGCTAAACACTAGAAGGTTGTATAGTAAAATTGCTTAGGGAATTTTTTTGTTAGAGCGCAAAAGTTGCTAATTTTTGAATACAAGGATCTTCCTGATCGTATCACGTTACACCAAATCGGGATCAATTATTGGTCTATTGTCACGTGTCCGCATTTTTTTACTGGGTACGCTGGGGTAGTTCTGTCCCTAAGCTCTGTCCGTAGAATTTCCGATGCCCATGGGCATGAGGGGCATGCCTTAGGCATGCCCAATTTTTTTCCTGTGCCCTGAACCCTAATACTGATATATATAATGATAAAAAATCCGAATACAAATAAAAACAAACAAAATTACATTGAAAGTGACACATCTTTAGAGGATTAACAAAAAATCATATCCATGTCAAATAAAACACACGAGTACTTCAAACGAAACCCTGAGGATTGGAGTATTCTCGGATTTTTAAATGAATGCGAATTGGAGCCGTTTGATTTGAAAATAGACTTTTACATTAAATGCCTCGAATCAATAGTTGAGTCTGAGCAAGGCGACAGATCTGAAAGAGCACAATTGCTCCTTGACAAATATAAAAAGGCAAGTAAAATTCTTTTTTGTTGGTATGTAGATGGAAATGGTGGCGTGACGGAAACTTACTAGGTTGCCAGTTCATTCAAGGCTATTAGCTGAGCCGCAAAACTGGTGTTGGCGCACAGGTGATCTATTAGGTTGTCTGATGCTAAAGGCTACTAGCTGATCCAGCACTGGACCCACTGGGAACAGATGAGCCTACTAGGTTTGTCTGATTTCTGGTGGGACAGGAGAACGAATGAATTGAGATATGTTAGTCAAAGAATATACTAAATTTTAAATCTTTTATGACAGAGTCCTCAACCTGATCGAAAAAAAGCAAAAGATTGGGAGGAGAAGCGCTCGCGTCGACAAGTACATATCCACCAGCCGATTAACGGGAATGTAGGAAATGTAGTCGGGAATATAAACGGTACTATCAACGCCAGAACTTCCGTTACTACATCAAAAAGAGTTTTGAATTTTAAAAAGGTACAAATGTGTATTTTTCAGCAATAACTATTATTTTGCGATTTGTTACTAATGTCTTTAGAACAAGGATGTAGTCACAAAACGGACTAAAATCGAATCACAAGATCAACCTATTGAGGCCGACTCCGAGGAAAGCACTGAGGACGAACTTAAAGATATATATAATACTCCACCACCGCTTTCTTGTGTTAGTTCAGAGAATGAATCTGAAGAAGACTTTAAATTGGAGGATAATGACGCATTATATTGTGATATGAAAACGGTTTCATTCGATGATTATTTAAACCAAAATAAAACGGAATCCGAATGGAAATTAAAAGATGATCGTCTAATTATTGATATTGTTAAAATTAAGACCGCTGAGTTCCTTATATTTGCCTGTTTTGTCTATAAATATGGACGGATTTTTCAAAAATTCATCGATCCTAACAATAAATTTAACAGTATAAGTAAATAATCAATGCAATTAAATTTGTAAAAAAAAATTATATAACTTACACGTAGAAATATATCGTGGCTATTTGCTGTACTATTTGGGAATACTTGCCAGTTCTAATTTTATATAAATAGTCGCGAGCTTCATTATATTTATACCCATCACATATCTGAAAATGGTCAAAAATGGACATAAGTAATGAAGTAATGTATATATGCGCAGAAGACAATAAACTACTTTCCTCTTCGACAGTATCAATAACATTTTTTATCTCCCCTTCGAAGAACTTTGGTTCCATATTAACAATCCCATAGACCTTTCTTTTAATATCTGCCCATTCTTGCCCAAACCACGTATACATTCCATTTTCGAACTCTGAAGATAAATCTACAATTGATGAAAGCCCTAATCTGTATTTACTATGTTAGATTTTCCTTTTATTAATAATCTATTTCAGAAAAGTAAGAGAACATACCGGATAATACTTTTCATAAGTTGTGTTC